TAATTTTATTCATAGTACGTAATCGATAAACATCCTTAATCACCTTCACCTACATCATCACTTTTAGCAGAAATTACATAAAATTCTTTCATACAGATTGGCATGACATACCTAATACTGAAGCTCTTTGACTTAAGGCATATTTTTTACAACTAAATACAAGTATTTATTTGTAAAAAATATGGAATTGGAATTTCTTCAGTGGCGTAGCTACCAAGGGGCTAGGCAGTGCCCCGGGGCCCTCAAGCTCAAGGGGCCCTCAAATCTTTACCAGATAATTCTCAATCGAACTCAACTTTTGAATTTTTTTCCTATTTTCAAAATAAATATGATAGGTGGCAACTCGAGTTTAATCATGGCAACTCAGTTGTGAGAAATTCCAAAGTTATAATAAGGGAATTCCCCTAAATTATTTGTGTGGGTTGACAGTGTTATTATTGTTTTCATGAATTTGTTGGATATCAATATCTGCATATTATTATTTATCGATATGCGTTTTTGTGATTCGCGATTGTGAATTTCGAGTCAAGATTTTTTTTGGAGAATGGTTAAAAAGTTAATGTATCAGGAGTAAGTAAGCGTATGTCAATAAATTTTTTGTACTGGTCCATACAAAAGTTCAATTTTATTCGATTATAGTACGTATACATAGTTACGTAAAGAAATCTATAGAATAGAAAATTCTTTATTTCAGGTTTCGAGGCAAATATTACTTTGAAGTTTACTAAGTTTTTATTAATATTTTGATCATTCAAAACTTTTGGTTCAAAAGCGAAAAAGATACTTTAAACTCAGGCCACAGCACAGAGCTTAGCCTAAGAGCCAAAGTAATTAACTGGAACGGTTGGTTTCGAATCCCATATATAAATCACATTTTTTTGTTGGCTCTCAACCTCAAGGGTTCTGACCTGAAGGGTCGGCGTCTGGAGGGCAGGGTAGATCACATTAAACGGCATATTACTTATACAATCTATCAATATAAACTGATATCGCGATGCATTAAATGAACAGCGCCATCTAGATTGCAGACTTATAACTATTCGGGTACCTATGAAGATGATGGGTGTGTTACAAATAAGTATATTTGTCATAACAATATTCAAACAATATTGTCGCAAACTTGAAACTTCATATTTAACATAACAATATTGCAGCGACATTGTCACAAACTTGCCTCAAATATTTGACGAAACAAACTTGCCCCAAGTTAGCATGCTATCTGGGATACCTATACCAAAATAATATTTTTTACATTTATTGTGTCTGTTTGTTACGGCTAAACTCTGAAACGGTCAGAAAAAAATTGACAGGACTTCATGGCAGATAGCTTGTTATAAGGAATGAAGAAGTAGGTATTAAAAAAAACGAAAGCACTTAAAAAGCACCTCCACTAGATGGCGACTCTAGCAAAAGTTGATTTTTGCAGGAAACGAATGGACCAAAGACAGTCATTTCCGTTCCTTTTAACTAACATATTAAAAAACTGAAATTTGAAAAGTTCGTAACTTAGATTTAGGAACCATAAGGTTTAATGTTTGGTCCCTACTGTGGTGATGGAGACAACTGGCCAGGGAGACTAAAGGATAATTGTGTCCCTCCGAGCTAGGTGTTGTTAGCCCGGGAACCGCGGTCCAACCGATGTAGGTTGGACCGCCATCACGTTACTTGCTGTTGAAACTTATTGCAGTTCGTCTTGCTATCGATGGCTGTGACGATGCTAGTCTTCTCGCTATCGATTGTTGTGGCGATGTTAGTGCGATGAGTTAGATGTCGCTATGTATCAGTCGCCACATGATACATAGCGACATCTAACTCATCGCACTAATATCGCCACATAGATAATAATCAATACAAATAAGATATGAGTTGTTTATTGAGTTTTGAAAATTAATTTACTTTTAAACATGAAAGAAAACCGGAAGGGTTATCATGGAGAAATCAATAACGTACCGTAGCGACATCTAGTTTGATTTCGGGAACTAATTTGTTTTTTAAAATACTTCCTCATTACTAAAGCTACTTAGTTTACATACGTAGTATCTTCTTCTTGGTCTGTGATTTACACGCGGCCGAAATCGCGGGTACAGCTAGTTTTCGTTCATATTGGCTCACCTAATTATCAAAAATAAGTTTTATTGCGTTGATATACGGCAGCTGTAAGTTTTCTTTTAAAGAAATAAAATAAAAGAGTGCCATAATAAAGAAAAGTGACCTAACAGACCGATTAACCTATTAAAGATTCTTGTGAACTGTAAGGCCTATTAGCTCAATGTCTGAACCGTTTCCTAATCGTACATTTATCAAAAAATGGTTTGAATTTTAGCTAAAAAATAAGAAAAAACTTTTCTCCAACCTATTATTTAATTTAATACAACTAGACAGATAAAATAAATGATAAAATAAGGTAATTTTTAGCTAGAATGAAAATAATAAAAAATCGTATTCCATTTAAGATTACGATTATGCCTTATAATTCATTGGATGGGCCGTACATTCAGTACGCACTTAGTAGCTATGGACGAATTTATACTACTTATTTGAATAGCATATATATAAACTACAACTAGGAATATTGAAAACAATCGTATCTCCGGAGGTAAAGAAATACTTCATATCGACGCTTAAGAACCAAGACCATCTATCTACAAAAAGTCGATTTTACAGGAGAAGAAAAAAAACGTTTTATATTTTTTCTACAACATGTGTTTTTTTTTTATTTTTATATCTGTTCAGTTAATGGATAAGCATGGGAAATAAGGTGTTTACATGTATTTCCAGAAATCTATATTAGTTTCAAAATTACTGTAGATAGCCGGTATTAGTTAAAATATTTGCGTATGTTTATGCAGCTAACTGTAATATAGATGGTATTGGCACCTTATGCATCGACAACAATTTGGTTTTACAAGGGGTCGCTCAACTGACTGAAGCCGGTGTCGAGTTATTACAAGAAATTTTTAATGCCTGGGAGGACTCGCATGATGCCTAAGGTGTTTTCTGTGACCTATCTAGGGCATTTGATTGTGTTTTTCATGAAACATTGATTAGGAAAATTCATTACTATGGATTTAGAGATAACTCATTGGAATTCATGGTCTCATACCTGACTGACAGAGTGCAGAGGGTTGATATCAATGGCAAAAGATCCCTTGGATCGAAAGTTAAGATGGGTGTTCCGCAGAGCTCAATACTTGGTCCTTTCTTGTTTTAAATTTACACAAATAACTTGCCTTATTTCGTAAGGGATAATCATGAAATAGTTTTGTTTTACGGATGACACATCACTTTTGTTTAAAATTAAAAGAGGGCTACCTCTATATGACGATGTTTAATGTAAATAATCTTCTCCTTAATGAAGGAAAAACGAAATGCCTAAAATTTAAATTATATAATGTTAAAACAGTGGGCCCCACATATTGATAAATTGTCGAATAGACTTAGCTCTGCAGCATATATCGTAATGAATAAATGTATGTTAACTGACATAGATAATGCCAGATTAGTATACTTCAGTTAAGTACTTTCATAATGTAATGTCGTACGGAACCCTATTGCGGGGAAATGCTGCCGACATACAAATTTTGTGCTTCAGAAAAGAGCAATAGAACAATTTATAATCTTAGGTTTAGGGGCTCTTTAAGGGAAAAATTTAAGGAAATAGACATAATGACTGTTGCTGCTCAATACATATACGAGAACTTAACGTACGTTTGTAAAAATATAAGTTTGTTTTCTATAAAAAGTGATGTACACAGTTTAATACAAGAAATAAAAATAAATTAACGGTACCTGTCACTAGACTGCAAAAAGTTAGTAATTCATTTAGGGGTCTTTGTGTGCGTTTCTACAAAAAAATACAGCAATTAGATATCATACAGTTTAAATCTACTACTAAAAAATACTTATTAAAAAAGCTTATTATAAGGTATCCGATTATATAATAGATAAGAATGCTTGGACTTAAGATGATCCAGCGACTGGATAGGTGATTACTTCAAAACTCATTTTATTTCAAAAGATATGTTGTTTCCATTATTATTAAATAATTATGTTATCATTATAAGCCCATAGTTTTTTTTTTTCTTTCTCTTTATAACGTATTGATCTGGTAATGACATGGTTTTTGAGAATATCATTATTCATATTAAAGCTGGTGAGTTTCATGCTCGTTCTTCTTATCAGCCAAAAGACGTCCTGAACGAGTGAGTGGTAGGGAAAAAAATGTTGGACAATTCAAAACATTTTTAGAAAGTTTATTTGAATAAAGACTATTTTAATTTTGACTTTGAAACGAAATAATATAAATTAAAGACTTTAATCAAACAAAAAACTCTTAGTTTTATTAAATTATAAAACGAGTAATTACGTATTCTCTGTAGATAGGTGGTATTTCCATACAATTATTACTCCACGTAACTTAGGTAGTATAGGTATTTTCTCATAACTCCTTATTTATTGCGAATTTAAAGAAATTGATTAAAGGAAACGATGCGTAAATTAACCATGAAAAGAACTGCATTAAAAACTGAAAATAGCCAAAAGTGTAGATAGATGCTCTTGGTTCTTATGCGTCGATATGAAGTAGCATAATTGTACCTATAATATGTATCAATCAACCCGTGGAGAGTGGCGTGGGTTACACGATATTTTTTTGTATGTTACGGTTAAAACTAGTTTTTAGATAGAACGCGTTTTCCCTATTTGGAGATAGTTTTCCTAAACGACCTAAACTAAAGTACCTAATAAATACGCACGTCCCATTTAGGGACTAATAGGGATGCTGAAGTCGTTAATTGTAGGTTACTAGTTGCAATCATAATTTTTAATATTTTTAGCCATGCAAGTTATAGCGCGAGAAAACTAAGTGATGTTAAAATAAGCTTCAGTTTCCTTTTATGAGTAATGAAAGGAAATTGGTTTACTCCTTCTTTAGGCCATTTTTTCAATATATTTTATTGCAGAGTATCACATCATTTAAAGCAAAATTATAATAAAGCCATGATATTTTAAATATCTATTTTTGTACCACATTAACACAAATAAATATATTTTATAACAATTACATACAGTTGGATTAAATGTTTAACAAACTATATTTTTGTCAGTGATAGGAGTAGACAATTGATTTTTGGTACTTGTACATAGATGCTCATAGAAAGAATGACATGGATAAGTCTTTTTTGAAAGTATTTCCAAATGCAATTAAATATTGTTTATGTATGTAGATGTCAATTATTGCTACTTAATTTAAAAGGTAATTAAGAAAACTATTTAAATTTATTTATGTATTACTATTGGAATTCATTTTATGCATTCAAATCCGAACATTATTTTGAAACTACTTCAATTTTCATATATTCCTTAAGTACTTACCCTGAAAAAGCCATAGTGATCTAATAAATCGGAAAAATGACCATATTATTTATCTGTTTCAGATCAATGACCAATAGAATTTAATTTACCTACTCTTATCACTGATTGATTATTACTAAGAGATCTATCTAAATCAGTGCAGAAATACCAATAAATATTATTATTAATTAATATATACTCAACAGCAAGTCAGATTATCCGAAAGTTAGATTCTTTAATTGATTGATTATGAATCTTAATACATTGACATTTACTTTAAAATTGATTAAAAACATTTTGTTTATTCTAATGTACTACTTGCTATGTGCACAATAATTTAAGACAGCTATTTTGTTTATAAATCCCATGAAAATAAGTGGTGCTTTACCAACATATCTCTCACTCCTTCTTTCAAAGGTTGATTTTGGGTATCTTTTTTTAAGGGAAGTTCCCAATCTGGGTTTAGGTTAAAACCAAACTGTGAGAGGATTCGTAATTCACATTTTATTTGAACCCAGCCTGGTGAATTTATAAATGACCAAGGATGATACCACTTCTGTACAATATCAACACATGAGCAAAGAACTTCTAGCCAGAGATGTAAAGCCTCTTCATTCAGTCCCATACAAATTAATGTACGCAATTTTACATCCATCTGGGCATGGGCATTATCATGTGATAAATTGATAGCTTGCACACATCTGTACAATAACTCTTCAGGAGTGAGAACTTTCCCATCTTCATCCAAACGGTATGTCTTACATAATACTAATCGGCTATATACTGAATTGAAATCCTTTTCAACTTCTCGTGATGAAGCTTCTTCAATGAATAACCATGGATGACATGGACCATCCAAGAAGCTCGGTCTTTTTATACCATGAAGTAAAACTCTTTTGAAGGCAGGGGCTAGAACTCCTCTTACTAAGTGTGCAGCTTTTTCAGTAACTGAATCATCTCCCGCTCGACTATACTTCACTCCCTTTTCATCCAGTAACTTAACAAATCTGGCTGGAAACCATCCTCTTAGTCCATTTAGCTCACCAATCCAACAATGCTCATCTCTAGAGCTTATGACTTCTATAACATCGTTTTTTCTAAAGCCCAACTCATCTCCATCTCTTCTTTCAAAATCTAATAAAGCTTTAGCACGCCTTCTTTTGCTCCTAGAAACATTGACATATCTCTCCCTATCAGCTGCATGGCTTTGCATAGTATAATCGGCTGTTAATTGAACTTCGGAAGCTAGCTGTGGCTCTAATGCTAGAAAATGCCGAGCCACCTGTAAAATTGCTTCCCTCAGATCAACAAGTATTTCTGTTTGCTTAACATTTTTGGAGACAGCATCCTCATTATTACTGTCTTCTCCAAAAAGTATAGTTTGAATAACAGACTTGTTCCTCTTGATTTGCCTTCTTTGGAGTTGCTGTTTAGGAAGGTTTGGTACTGCGCTTGGATTTCCCACCAAAGCACCTTGATCAGCCATAAGATACGCCAGATGCCTTCTTCTGTGTGTGTCGATTAAAGTAGGGCTTAAAGTTTCTCCACAGACTTCATCAATAGTTTTTATTAGTAAATCAACATCATCTATCTCTCCAGGTATATCAGACAAAGCGTTAAAAATTTGTGCTGAATTTGATATTTCTGTAAATCGATTTTCTCTAATCTTAAGCATTGCTAGGGTGACTTTAAATAATACAATAGAACCATCTAGAAAGAATAAATCCCATATTCTTAGTAAGATTTTCATGTGTACAACATTTGCATATAGTGTTAAAAACCAATGCATGGTTATCAATGAAAGTTCAATATCATGTGCATTTAGCACTTGGTCAATACCTGGAAGGTATGATGATATGAGACTCCTTAAAACCTTCTGGTCAGCTTGGATGCCAATTAATGTGGAAGAATAATAAGATGCAGGCAAAAGATCTTCCACTGTAGTACACATAATCCAAAAAGCATCCTCCTCCTCCATTAAAAGTAATAGAGAGGCTGCTATCATTCCAGTACCTTGACAATACCCTATATCTGGGTAAAGCCAAGCCAAAGCTCTTAAAATTCTTCGTAACCTTGGAACACCTGTGCTGGTAGGATGTGAAAAACAAACATTATTGGGTAATATTTGTACTAAATCTTTTTCAATTTGTTTACTTGTTACCAGACCATCATCACTGGAAGCTCTCACTATTTCATGATATGTGATTTCTGTTGTTGCTCGTTTTTTGTTCGCACCACACAAGTGCATCCACACTTGCGGCCTCAGTGAATGTGGTACTCCATCTTTGACCATTTTCTGCAATTTATCACTTTTATCTAATTTACCATCACTTTCAGTGAAATTAATTTCTTTGCTGTAGAATTCCCATTGCAAGCGGTGTTGGTCATCTTCCATAAGGGCATTTTCTAGCAATTTACTTGTGCATTGTTCGTTCCCATCCTCATCTTCAACACAAAAGCCAAATTCATCAAATCTGTAATCAGGTAGACCGCCGTGACCTTCCGATTCTGGTTGAGCTAACTTTGCCATTATATCCTGAGGGACCATACTTGGAGTAAGAGCTGAAAAGGGTCCTCCAGGAATTGGAAGTAATTCATCAGCGATATTTAAACCACGTATAACATCTATTACATCTTCTGGATCATCATCTGCTAACGCTGAACTAATTTTACGCTCATGATCTTCTCGTCCCACATAACCGACATGGTCGCGTGAACTAAACAGAGACTTCGCTAAATCCATTCTTCAGTGCATCGCCGTGATTTCGAAACAATAAAGGCAATTATTTACACTTTCTCTTTGAAGTATTTTTTTACGCTAGTTGTAGTTTATATGTCAAACCAGCCATAGACATTTTTTTTTTTGGTAGATTTTTTCCTTAAAGGAAAGGCGAAGAGAGCCAGCCATAGACATATATTTTCTATTATGCCACAGACTATGTATTAGTGATAGAAGAATGTATTATTTAAGCCTGGCGTCGACTTACATCGAGTTTATATTAAACAACTTTGTATGTGTACATACTGGGAGGAACAAAATGACCGACACAGCCGAAAGTTTCAAGTTAGATTACATGCAAACGTTCATTTTATTTGACAAATACTTAAAAATAGAGGAGGTGTAAAAATGGAGTAAAAATTTTAAATTTCTCAGTGTTAACAGCCCTATAACGCGCATGCGCAATATCGATTGTGTACAGATTACAACGAACCGCGAAATACATTAATTTAATTTAATTATTTACCGATATCTTAATGATAGTCAATGCTGAAAACGTCCACTTCCTCTCCGAAGACTGAGCTAAGCACGCTCTTTTCAATGCCGGTGCATGCACGCGCAAAACACATTACATTTCACACAAAATTAAACACAATCTTCACTAAACTAAACTTAACACTCAAGACGAACACTCTAGTATCTTATTAACAAAAATTCAATTAAAAATGCACTAGAACAAAACAAAAATCGACAAAAAAGACGCTTCGCAGCGGTGCGTCGGCGGCGATGCGCAACAACACTCCAGCGCAAAAGGTCGACGGCGACTGATCGGCCGAAAATATCGACAGAATAATGAAGCCACCTGGCGGCTGGCGGGTGGGGCTTTGATATCGAGGGACGAACTCGGTTCACATTTTTTTTTCGTCTTTTGATATCACGCATTTTTTAATGTTCTTTTTAAATGCTATTTTAATAACAAATTCCTCAATGATTTTAAAACAAAGTTCATTTGTGTTAATGATGAATCGCTGGAAGGTTTGTGAGTTTATCGAGTTTAATTAACGATCCCGTTGTTAAAGGAGTATTACCTCATTCAAACAATTTTTTTGGAGATTTGCTCTTTTAAAATAACGTAGGTTAATGTTAGACTGATCTCTCTACAATAATTTAAGAAATTTTACACTCGGTTTCTTAATTGAGAATTTAAAGTTAAACGTCTCAAACTAACATCACTTAGTTTTCGTTTCCGATTTTAGTTTTTTAATGAGCAGTTGATAGCAGTTTGATAAAACTGGGACTATTTGATTTGTGAAATTAAAAAAACTTAGGTTATTGAGAATAAGCAGTAGAAATTTTCTACTTTTTTCAAATCAGAAACCGGCTGTTAGTCTGTAAATCGATTTAAGCATTTTGACTGCCTTGTTTATTGATTGTCTGGTAGAATTTGCATGAAAGCAGTCTTATAAATCACAAACTAGTTTATTTCGTTTTTAAAAATGAAGAAGTCAATGACCGATTTAAAACTTATCCTTAGTACGTCCCAAAAATAGCTGACTCAAGGTTGAAAACACTCATTTTTTTTCAAAAATTTTGTAATTTAATATCTCCGAAACTATTTGATCTAGACTTATATTTTTTTTACATCATATTAAAGACAAACAGTACTCTCCATGAACCTCGGGAGTGTCGGTCGTTCTGTTCCACCGAGTATATACGTAAAATCGTAATTAACCTTAATTTGGACAATATATTGGTTAAGTTCCAATAAAATTCAGTAAATTATCTGCCAACTATAAAGTTAGTGCTACGTATTGTGATTTTTTTTGACAATTGTCGTAATAGGGAAGATTTTAGAAAAGTTAGTCATCGAAAGCGAACTAGATGTCACTAGCGATTTTTAGATAATGACTGTGATATTGTTTCAAATTTTCTTTTTGAAATAAATAATAAAAGTAAATTCAGTTACGAAAATTAATAAATATGACGTCTTTACGCCTTGTTATAAATTATTTTAAATATATCGTTCTAGGAAAAACGAAAAAGCACAAACGAAAAACCACCGTACGAATTAACGTAACACCAGGCTTGAAATTCTATACTCCCCGTGCTACCCTGTACGACGTCCCGCCGTCGCCATGCCAGTTCAGTATCAATAGTATAATAATTACTATGTGTCTTTATGATTTCGAAGTTTAAAGCGTTCCGCTGTTTGTTTCGAACGGACGTTTTTTGTTGACGGTTTATTAAGATAAAATAAATTATGAGTAGTAGTCGTGGGCTTGCTGGCAGACTGCTATTCGTCCAGTTGTACTACTCGTTAGCGCACAGTCCACCTAGGGATCACGGTAGCGTTAAAGTTTACATTGGCAGGACGATCGTGGGGGACAAATTATGATGACATATTACGGTGAAATCCTAGCTGCCGCGATAAAGTATTAGTATTGGTTTTGTTAAGTTTAATTATTTTTACATAAGGTAAGAATTTTAAAATAACAAAGTTTATTTTTTTTGTACTACACAGCATAGACACACATAATATAATATTGTAATCTTTGGGTGTAACATTATAGGTTGGTGTGAGTGAATTAGTTAAGTATACTAAACAACTTTTACTATTATTATTATCAAAATATTAAACAATATTAAAATACCTACAATCGTTGACAGTATGAAACAATTGGGTTATTTCTTCGTGAATTCAGTGTTATCTACGCTCATTGTAAAAGTTATTTAGTATACTTAACTAATCCACCCCACGAAGTCATGGCGTATAATAATATTACACCTTATGTAGATCACTTGCTAACGTCTTGTACTATTTATTTGTAATTGTTAAAATTAAAAAAGATTATTTCGTTCATTCATTGAGACTTTCCCGACCAACGAAGTAACCTATATTTGTACTCAACAGTCCTGGTTTGCAATGATTAATTATAGAAAATAAAATAAAATAAATTAATTAAATAATAAAATTCAGAGCGCAATATCAGTGTTACAAAATAATGTCACGTGTGTCACTAATACATATCATATGTGATGATGTGAAGATGCCGTTGGATATTAAAATTTGGACAATTCATATACATTTACTGTCTGGATTTCATTCGATAGGTATATCAGGTTTCAATATCGATATATCGATTTTTTAACAAACAATATATATCGGTATTTTTTGCATTAATTGCTTTAAAAAATAGTAATTATATAAATTTACAAATGTTGGTTCGGTGTAATAGTTCTAATCGGATAGTAGTGAATATCAGTTCTAATCTGCCTCTAACAATAAGCAGAATATAAGTAAAACTTGTTTGGAACGATTTAAACATACGGTCGAGCGTTGAATTTTATAGGCATGATAACTATTTTTTAGGAACATTGGAAGTTTTCAGGAAAGTTTCGGGAAGTTTACCTGAAAACTTTCGAAATATGGGAAGTTATGGGATTTGAAAAGTTCGAAAATTAGATATCAATACAAATACGAAAAAGTACACATAGAATATGAGTTGTTTATTGAGTTTTGAAAACTAATTTACTTTTATCTATGAAAGAAAATCGGAAGGGTTGTCATGGAGAAATCAAGAACGTACCATAGCGACAGTTAGTTTGATTTCGGGAACGAATTTTTTTTTTATACTTTCTCATTAGCATAAATAGAAAGTCCAACCTACATCAGTTGGACCCGGCCTTACAACTCTTAGCTCGGAGGGAGATAATTGCCTTTAATCTCCCTTGCCAGTTGTTTTTATAATCCGGTAAGAACTACATCTTCAACATAATAGTTCCTACATGTAGGACCACACCTTTACCTTACGGTTCTTACAGGACAATAGAATTAGCGGAACTTGAAACAGTTTCTGTAATATTCATATATTTAATGTAATCCTATTCTAAACTTCATTGTAATTTTGTCATGCGCAGTCTTGAATATGAAAGTGTAGCTTGAAGGCTAGTTATACCGTAATATAATGGAGATGACTATTTTACCATTTCGTTTTTATTCTCATAAAAATATTGTTATCATAGACGAGGCAAGTCTAAGAAAATTTATCCCTCTTCGATTAACCATTTGAAAAATTAATGTTTTAACAAAAAATTACAATACCTTATAGTTATTTATATGAGAATGTACTTTAACAACAAACCAAATAAAAAGTAACTGACGCTTTTTTATAGGTATATCAATAAAATGAATGCGCTAAGAATTCCACGCGCTAACACGATTAACGCGTGAAATTCCAAAACGACCAAACGAATGAACAAAACGAGACCACGGCCGGCCGCATAGTTAACGTGTGAGCGTGATCGTTGTCAGACGTGTTATCCTATCACCTCTTTTTAAAAAAGCTTACTTAGTCGATATTTTTAATACTTTAGATTAGAAGGGTGATTATGTGTTATTCTGTGTATATCATGAAGCTAAAGAAATAACTGGAGACCAAACTCCTCTATACCTACTTGAAGCATAAAAATTTGACCTTGAATGTTTTCTATTTTATTCCTTAGGTCCTCCTCCTCTCTTTCTAATAGGGTGTCCACACAACTACAAAATAAAGGAGACAAGTTTAAAGAGTAGAACATTAAGACAAAAAAAAAGTATCAAATTTTCCTAGGTAGATGTAAAGTTTACATATGACATTAATAGATCTAATCTAGATTCTCCGTCAAATATGAAATTGACTTTATTAAAGTCCCGTACAAAAAGCCTTTCCGAATCTACTGGACCAAATCTTGTAAAATTTGTCATCCTTTGACCTAAACACAGATATACAAAATAATTAAATTTGTTTTTATAAATAAGAGTTATTTTCGGGGGACAAGTGAGAAAATTTTAAAAAGTTTTGTTAGCCTTACTGTATCGGACGTATACTAGTATTTTAATGAGTCTCGTTAGGGGGTTCTCAAATAAAAAAATAACAATTTTTGAATTTGATTAAAACTTAGCAGTGTGGTAATTAGAGTTGGCAAAAAACTCTTATTAATAATCACCAGCCTATTAATGGGGCCTATAAATAACAATGGGTCCATTCCGGATTGAAGGGTTTTTACAACTGCAGATACAATCGGGACAAACTGCTTAACGTGCCTTCCAAAGCACGGAGTAGATCTAATATGCAAAGTGAACTACAAGAC